TGGGCACAGTGGCTCATGCCTGTAATCCTAGCACTCTGGGAAGCTAAGGCAGGAGGATCTCTTGAGCTCAGGATTTTGAGTGCAGCCTGAATAAGAATGAGACCTGTCTATACTAAAAATAGAGAGATTAGCCTGGCATTTTGGGGGCCTGTAGTCCCAGCTAACTTGGGAGGCTGAGGCAGGAGGATCACTTGAGCCCAAGCATTTAAGGTTGCTGTGAGCTAAGACACTATGGCACTCTACCCAGGGTGACAAAGTTAAAAGTGTTGGAGGACTAAGTGGTACTAGGGAAGACTCTGAATTAGTGGTCCCTTCTTTGCACTAGGGAAGGTGTTTAACTCTTTCCCTTAAGGGAAGTCAGGTTTTTTATTGTTGTTTTCTGGGAGTCAGGGGTAGGAGTAGGGGAACATCTTTCTACCTCCCTTTGCTAGGTCCCAAAATATTCCACCTCTACTTATCTCAGACCTGAAGATTCAAGGGGAGACTCATGACAGTATTGAGGATGCCCGTACAGCCCTTCAGCTCTACCGAAAGTATCTGGAGCTAAGCAAGAATGGCACTGAGCCTGAGTCTTTCCACAAGGTGCTCAAGGGTCTTTATGAGAAAGGCCGAAAGATGGACTGGAAGGTGCCTGAGCCTGAGGGCCAGACAAGTCCCAAGAGTAAGACTGGGGAAGGGAAAAGGGAATCTGGACGAGGTGGATTTTGATCACATATATGGAGATTATACCCACCACAATAATAATGTGGATAATGACAATAGCAATAGCACCCCTACCTTATATTTATTTATAAAACACTTAACAGGCTCAGTGCCTGTGGCTCAAGTGGCTAAGGTGCCAGCCATGTATACCCAAGGTGGCGGGTTTTAATCCAGTCCGGCCTGCCAAACAACAATGATGGCTGCAACCATAAAAAAAAAAAAAATAGCCGGTGTTGTGGCAGGCGCCTAGGGTCCCAGCTACTTGGGAGGTGGAGGCAGGAGACTCGCTTGAGCCCAGGAGTTGGAGGTTGCTGTGAGCTGTGATGCCATGGCACTTTACCCAGGGAGACAGCTTGAGGCTCCTGTCTCAAAAATAAAAAATAAAACACTTAACAGTTTAGAAAGGATTCAATCCTCCTAACACTCAGTGAAATAGATTGTTATTATCAGAACTTTTCGCTGAGGCTCAGCACCCATGGCTCAGCGGTTAGGGTGCTGGCCACATATACCGGAGCTAGTGGATTTGAACCCAGCCCAGGCCTGCCAAACAACAATGACAATTAGAACAACAATAAAAAAATAGTCAGGCATTGTAGCAGGCGCCTGTAGTCCTAGCTACTTGGGAGCCTGAGGCCAGAGAATCTCTTGAGCCCAAGAGTTTGAGGTTGCTGTGAGCTGTGATGCCACAGCACTCTACCAAGGGTGACACAGTGAAACCCTGTCTCAAAAAACAAAATTTTCCGCTGGGCACAGTGGCTCACACCGTTAATCCTAGCACTCTTGGAGGCCAAGACAGGTAGATTGCCTGAGCTCAGGAGTTTCAGACTGGCCTGAGCAACAGTGAAACCTATTCTCTGAAAAAAAAAAAAAAA